TGTGCCCTCCGGTAGGATCCGAACACACGACTATCGGAAAAATCATCGGGAGATCCGAAGTGCTTTTAACCGACCCGGCCACGAAGAGCATCGTTGACATAACAAATTTCTACATTGTCTTTTAAGCACATCCCTCTCGAATCCTGCCAGAGGGACCTTTTTTTCTTTAACAAAAAATTCAGGCCGGTAGGCGAAAATAAATATACTGTTTAATAAATAAACAGGGTGTCTACTCAAATATGGGTATCTACTAAAAGTAACGTTTAAGCAATAAATTAAAAAAATGATATGTCAGATTAATGAATAAAAAAACCATTACTTCTTTATAAATATATGTGTGTGTGCGCACGCGCGTGTGTGTGTGTATTTGTGTGTGTCGTTTTCTTGACTACGCCGCGGCTTCATCATATACCACATACTGCGACCGAATTAGTGTCAGTGGACGACAAACCGGATATATAGGGGTTCCATAAATACTAAATGAACGAATTTTTAAAAAGGGCACTAGGCGAATAAAACAAATAGAGTCATAACGAAAAGAAAACAATGTGCGAAATCTAAAACCATTTTGCCACGCCCAATAGCAATTAAAAATGTGAAAAATTTCTAAAAAATGTTGAATATTGACGAAGCTAAACGGGGGTCCTAGTTAACGAAAACACAGATTAGACGTTCATTGCTAATTAAAGTCGTATAAATTACAAGCTCATTTGTGCCAAATAGGCAAAATTGAATGACGTTGCTGACTGACGTTTATATTATTGTGAAACAATTTTGGTGTAAAGAAAAGCATTAAATAATAATAATAATAATAATAATAATAATAATAATAATAATAATAATGAAAATATTCAAAAAGCTGTCAAAATAGAAATCTCAAAAATGTGGCATATGGGAACATCAACAATCCCAGTTGTAGTTGGAGCCCTAGGACTGGTTGGAAAAGATTGCAGTAGACTAATTGAAGGGATTCCTGGAAGTCCATGCCTCAAGGAGATACAAAAAATTGTTCTGACAAGTACAGCCCACACTTTACGAAGGGCTTTATCTATGTAATTTTTTTTTTTTTTTTGTCAGTGGAAAGTTTCATGATGCCATTTCTAACCTTAGGTTCCTGGGCGGGACCCGGAAAGAAATGTGTAAACGCCAGAAATCAAAGAAAATAGAAATAATAATAATAAATAAACTTAAAACTGCATTATCCCTTTTGTGGTAAAGGTATTGGGTATGATAAAGAAGGGTACCGAAAATCATGTGAGCAGTTGGAAATTTGTCTCCAGCTGTGCCGGTCAAGCTCTCTGCCTCCGGGAAGAGGATCCTCAGACGAGGCTATGTCGAAGGGCAGAGTCTCGTCTCGGAAAACGGCTACCCAACCCCGTTTTATAAGGGATCTACGGGGATTTTTTTGGACGAGCGTACGGGCTCGGATACCCTACATTAAATTCGGCCTTGTGTCACATCTAACCGCATGGGGCGGTTGGTAGACATCCCGAAAATCATGTGAGTAAAATTCCTGGACACATCAGCATCTCGGAGCTACCACAGATTACTTTGTGCGGAACTGCACACATCATCCGCAAAATCCTCTTCATCTAAACGAAACGTCACCAATGTGCATAGATAACTCACTTATAAGACTTAGTAATTAAGCACTTAATATTCCTCTCTGGCAAGATGATATCACACACAATAATAGTAATAACAGAGGCATACATGAAAAGGTCACTGCATCTCCTGAAGTCTATGTTGAATGCCCGTAATCTTATAACTGCCATTAATACCTGGGCTGTACCTGTGTTACGGTATAGCGATGGGTTGGTTGAATGGACAAAGGAGGAGTTACAAACCCTGAACGGAAAGAACCGAATATTGTTTTTTGAGAATGGTTCCCTGAACCGAAATTCATACCTGATAAAATTCTACCCTCCTCAAAAAGGAGCTAGATGATTTGCTGGTACTTGGTAAAGAGTGAAGAGATATTCTTGAAATATGCGTCGAATTTCAAAAACCTTATAATAGAAAGTATCAAAAAGAAAGAAGAATACTGAAAGAGAGGTTAAAAGCAAGGGAGGTAATACCGCTTCATGGACAGTCTGAGAGGGACAGTCTGTCAGTTAAGTGTCATACGTTTGGGCGATCATGTCTCTTTTGATTCATGACTGGCTAGGCAGAAGATTTTTTCGCAGTAGGCTGCCGTTTCTTTCTTTTTCTAGACAGGTGGCCAATCAACACTAAAGTAGAGAAGAGATAGCTCCATAACTTTCACCAAAAGTATTTGCGTGCAAATGAATGTAAGGAACCCAACTGGAATTCGAAATCGGCTCTCCGATTTCTCATTACGAGCCGGTATCTATTACACCACCTGCACATCCCTTGGGAGGGATTCCAATGCCAGTTAAGAGAAAAGATTTGTTGACGAAAGGCGAACTGAAAAGTAAGTCTGAAAACTTACTGGTAGCCGCCCAAGACCATGATCTGAAGACTAAGTCTGTCCAGAAGAGCATCTACCGACAAAGTAGATTCGGACATTCGTGAAGACTGTGTGGCATGAAGGTAGAGAATGTCATACATATCATTGGCGCTTGTGGAATGCTTGCGTAGAAAGAATAAAAAGCCCGCTATAATAAATTGGCCTCTCATATTGGTACCTACAGAAGAAATATGAACTTGAATTCGGAACAAAAATGGTACCTCTACGAATCGGGGAAGGTGATCGAAAACGACCAAGTCAAGATCTTATTGGATTTCAACATCCAAACAGACCGCATCTTTGAGGCAACCATGCCAGGAACCAACGTTGTGAAAAAAAAAAAAGCAAAAAAAAACAAAAAAAAAACACATACAATTACTCCTCATCGTTGTATCTGTTCCTGTTGATCATCATATCAAGGTCAAAGAAATTAGGAAACTTAAAAAGTACACTGTCCCCCGGATTGAAGTTCCCACGTTGTGTGGACGTTCAGGCTACCCTCTAGTTATCATTAGGGAGTTGGGGGTCCATACCATCGAACTTAAAAACCTACGTTAAGAAAATCCGGATAGATATGTCATCATTCCAGAAGTCTGCGTTGCTTGGTTCTGCAAATATTCTGCGGAAGATGAGATCTGTTTGAGGCCCGTACAACTTGAAGGAAATACTCAAGAGTTCCGGTTGAAGATGAAAAGCGCGCGGAAGAAGAGAACATAATAATAATAATGCTGTAAGGCTATCATGGCTTCTGACCGTAACTGTTTGGCGGTATTAAGATGTACACGTTTTGTCTTGGTAAATTAATCTGATATTGAAATCTAATTTTTGATTTACTGTTGTTGGAAAGAAAGTTCCTTTGCATTTAAGAAATTAGGAACTTTTTTTTAAATTTTTTTTTTTTTTTTGTTAAGTCATCTCATTTTCATTAATAATGTTGTATTGATCTTGTTTTTTAGTTTTTATATTCAGACATTTTCTACGCATTTAAAAACAAAAGTATTTTTTACCGGCACATTTGATCTTACTTTTTGCATAATAATTTTTTAATTTTGTTTGACACGAAGATACTTTTGTTTTAAACATAGACTCTTACCCCCAAATATACACACTTTGGTCGGTATAGTACTTTATTGACTTCTTGTTATTGGTAATCGTGAGAGACATGTATTGTAAACTTAAGAGTAAAACTTAGTATGGCAGTATTCTTAAAAAAAGAAATGTCCCATTTAAATTAGACTAGTGTAGTTATATCATTTTTTTCTTTTACTGGCATAAGACTGGACCTTTTATACTGGCACATTACAAAATACAATAATCAAGGTAACAATTTCCTCCAATTCTTTCAGTGTTTCGAAAGCATGTAGACCAAATATCCCTTTCAGTGCAAAAGATATGCATATTGTTTGCTTGACCTGAACCTGTTAAGCATGTAACCTAGGGGCTGACACATAGGGTATATCTGTTGCAGTTTTTTGTATATATATTACTAGTGAGCCAGTCCAAATGACTTGACTCACTTTATAGTCCACCAATGGAAGGTTAACCAATCAGAAGACGTAGAATATTCAATCCGTCGTGTATAAAGGCGGCCATTTTGTTTACTCTATACGAATGTCCAGTTCCCGCTTGTCAGGCGAAGAGTAACAGAAGGACGAACTACGCTCTGCTACTTTTACCGAAATATCCACTGCTAACCTGAAATACGCTTCCCTACTGTCTTCGAAATATTCACTGCTAACCTCTGGATTCTATACTCGAAGACGACCGTCATCATGAACAACAATATCTTGGTTCATAGGCTGGAATAGTGGAGGAACATTATAAGCAGATATCGAGGGTTGTTCTTTTTAGTTTGAAGGATAGAGTAACCAAGGGGAATAATTAAAAATTATTACGCGTACGCACGTGTGATTTTTATATGCGTGTGCTCTTATATATATATATATATGTATGCATGTAAGTGCTTTGTATGCGTGCTTAAAAGAAGAAAAATGAGGAGTTAGAACAGGTAATAAAAAAAAATCAGTATAAGTGTTCCAAGTATCAGATGGGTGGGTGGATGGTTCTGCTGAGTCAGTATATCAGAGCTGATACCCCCACCCAAACACACCCGGTGTCCAAGTATCAAAACCTTATCAAAACGTCACCGCTACCTCCCATCCACGTCATTTATAAATCCTTATTTTAAACAGCTGCACTGAAATTATTTAACATTCTTTTTTATTTTTCTAAATTCACTTTAGACTAATGTAAACCAAGTCAATTGCTTTTTGTCGCGATGTCAGAAACTTACTTTTTTCCACCCGTTTTACGCGGGCCTCGAGGTTTCATTTGCAACATTATAAAAATTACAAGACGAGCGGATAAAATATATTGTAAGTCTTATTTTCATCTATATTATCGACTTACTGTCGGTGTTAAATTTTTAAAATATCTATCTATCTATCTATCTATCTATCTATCTATATATATATATATATATATATATTGGAATATATATATTTTGCATATATATGTATATTTTCCACTA